GTGGCTGGTGTGATGGCGGAAATTTTTTCTCGTTTTGTTGAGTGACGTTCAATATTGTAGCACCCTGAACTCTAAGTTTGGAAAAAATATTGTAAAATTCAAAAATATAGAGGCAGGAGACCTAAACCTTTCAGAAGCTGAGATAATTAGAGGAGGGAGCCAAAATTGACTCGCTGACAGACCCGAAATCCAAATTGGCGCTGACGTTCAAATCCAATGTGATGTTACAGCTTCTTTCATATGAGACACAATTTTTCTGCATACTTAGCCGCTCTACGAGGTGTACAGCGTCTATCGCGCTTCGAGAGGTCCTCGACGATGTCAGAATTCGCTAGCGTTCGCGGTCGCGTCGCGGCCAGCGAACCGCTCTTATGGCTGATACCGTACAATGCCACTGAGAATGCAGGCAAATCGATCTATTCGCAAAGTCTGACATCGGCCTTACGCTGACGGCGAGGGTAAAACGGGGCTTAGATTAGGCATGCTTCCGTGATCCTGATCCTTCAGTAGAAGAGATTTCCGTTGACGACAACTTCGTAACCCGCCTTTCCGCTTTAAACTAGGGTGCAAAGAATGAATGGAAGCTGTAGGTGACATTATCGAAAAATGCGAAACAACAACCCCGAGCAAGGATGTGGCTATATTTAGGGGAAGGGTCTCGGAACGTGCGAACCATGGGTAAGCCACCCATCAAATAGAAAAGGTTGTACTATGAAAACAAAATGTAAATGGAATTTATTGTAGGTTTGTCAAAAATCCAGCCGTCCAGGTCCTGGGAAGATATGTTATTCCACATTGCTGAGAGTATATATGGGTATATTAAGATTGCTAGAAACATTCCAAAAACAAAAGAAATAGTCGTGCGCCACAATGTGGCGTACGTCGTCCGTTACGTGCTAAGTTGATCCTCACCCTTGACTTTAACGAGAAATTTTTTGACATAATTTCATTTTAATAAATTGAAGCCTTGCAGTCAGAGTCAACCCTGCGTTGCGCAGTTCTCAACGGCCACGTTGCGCAGTTTCGCA